GAGGGTCCCGGGCTGCGTGCGCCTCGCAACCGCGGCTCACCGCAGGGAGGCAGCGCCTCTTTGGCGTCGCCTAGCCCCGGCCTGACGACAATCCCAACCCAGGTCCTCCCTGCCGTCCTAGCTCTGAGCCAGGTCGGGGGGTCCCGCCACCCGCACGCTTGCTTCCCTCGCGCCCCTGCTCCTCCGTGGCGGATTTACTTTCGGCGTCCAGATGCAGCCGCGGGGCCGCTCAGCCGCCCAGCCCCAAGCAGTTTGTCATGCCTTCCTGGAGAGAGCCGAACCGGTTTGGGGACTCCTGGATGGAGCACCCGGTCGGGACCTCAGGGAATACTGTCGAGGCCTAGAAAGCTGCCGGCAGCCGAAGATTCGGACCCACGATCCTCCCCAACTGGAGGAACCCAGCAGCGTGGACAGGGCCTGGGGGCTCTCATCGGGATTGGAGGGAGGAGGGGGGGGGGTCCCCGCCGCTCCCCCCCCCCTCGGGCAAGCCTCGGGTGAGAGTGTGCGCTTCGGTGGAGATGAGCAGGACGCAGGGGTCGTGGTGTAAGTGATATATTTCACGGGAGACCACCTGAAGGTGTCCATAACTAACCCGAGTTCAATTCCTGGGAGATTATTGGCGGAGACCGGGAAAATGAAGCCGCCAAATCCGACTTGGTGACTTACCCAGGCAGGACCAAAACAGACACCAAAGCCCCAAGGAAGCGGCGGCGTGCCGTCCCCAGATGCCGAGGGCTCGCACGCCCACGCCGGCCCCCGCGCGACCCCACACACCTCTCTCTCCGCATCGCCTGCTTAAAGTCCGGAAGGGGCGAGTCCCGGAGGGGCGGGGGACCAGACGACAAGGAGTCGCCGCGAACTGGGTCACGCCTTGAAGGTGGCTTCTCTCTCCCCCAGAGGACTCCGAGTTCCCTACCGAGCTTCCCACTGTTTCAGGGGTTCCCGGGCCGGCCGTGGGGCGCGCCTGGACCTGCGGTTGCGCACGCGTCTCTGCAGTGTGCACCTCGCCTCTGCACCGCCCCGGGACAGCCTGACCCGAGCCTTCCGAGAAGGTGACTCAGCGACACGCTCCCGGGTGGAGAAACTCCCGGAAACAAGAAAGCCAGGGGAGTTGGAAGCAAGGGCGTCATCACGCGCCTCCAGCGCCGACGCGCGTGGCCACCGAGCTCTGGTCCTTCACCCACCCCGGTCTCTGGTTTCCCACCCCCCGCCCCGGGGATCCAGCACCCACACAGACA